CAAGATGGCCGCCCTAAATCTCGTCAGCGACAATAGAGCGGTCCATGAGGCGTCTATCCTTATATTATGTCTATGGTCCGCCCCTTCACCACCCATAACTACATTAGGCTGACACCTCTTGAAGCAATAACCATGGCAACGGTCCTTATTAATTATTATATATTTTATTTAAAAGGTGTTTTCAGGGCACATAAGGTGACCTCACTACAATTAAAAACAATAAATTTTAAAGAACAAATTCCAAATAGATAAAAAAGAAAATAAAGAGATCCAGGTGGAAATGCTTGAACAGCGGAACGTCCAGCGAGAATTTAAAGACACCATGTCAAAGAGACCTTTGCAGTGAGTGTGAAATGTGGAAGTTTATTCTAAATAGAGGAATCATGTGTATGAGTTGCACATTTACAGAATGGAGATCCTTTCTGTCCATAAAGGCACATTCACAAAGCTGGCATTACTTGACTGAAGGATGACTGTGACCTGTCTGCAGTTCCAGCTGCACCATTAACACACGGCTCCTTCTTCAAGTTTTGCTCATAGCTCCAGGATGATCAGTCTGGGCAATCTACGCTAGTAAACCATCATCAACACATCCCAGCAGATCAATATGGTTTTTGAACAAACGCTCACTCCAAAACCTTCTATTGGCAATGTTCTCCATCAGAGACTTTTGTGAAGCTACTTTTATATGTGTGTTATTGTCTACACATCTCCATCACCTTAAACATGATCAAACCTTATCTGTTTGCTGATCCAACCCCGCTTTGATTTTAGATTCTTTTATTATTGATGTGTTTCCTTTTTTGTAAAGCACTTTGTGATTTTTATGTCTGTGAAGGTGCTATATAAATAAAGTTTACTTACTTACGTTTTCATTCAGTGAGAATTAAATTAGCCCACAGATAACATGCATTTCATGTGCTTCGATGGACAGACCAATGCATTATATCTAACAAATTTTTTTTGTGGACAATTTTTATTATTTTTATTTTAATTTGAGTGAGGTTTTCAAATCCTTTTATTTTGTTTATTTTGTGTGTGTTATGTTATTGTCTGAGGATAAATGTGGCTTAGTTTCATCGTTGACGTTTAAACAATAAAAGATTAAAATCATGTACAAACATTGGGTTTGATGGTTCTTGGTCTAAATAACACTGCATAGAGTTAGCTTTCAGTGTATTTAGGTGAGTTTTGGTACTTTGTAGTTTGTTATTGTCCACAAAAACATTTGCATGGCTGCCACACATTTTCGTTTGCGTACGTTTCCACAAACGTTCACACCACGTTCATTTTTATACATGCTGACGTGTGTAAAATGTGGACTGCATATTAGACCCCTATGATTGTAAGGGGCCTCATATACCCCTTCTTCTCCATTATTGCATTTATGGAGAAGATGTAATGTATTGTTTTGTATTTGAGGCTGAACACAGTTTGACGGAGCATCGCATTGAATGGCTATGTTCTGCCGTTAAAATATGTAAAAGGAACTCTGGTTGACATATGGTGCTGAGGTGAGCTGACGCATTGAACCAGAGCTCCCAACTCGGTCGGCTAAATCCCCTGTGCCAGAGCTGAATTAACCCTTTAGAATCAATTAATTTATGATGAAAAGGTTGAAAGGCATCAAAAAGTAATGGTAAATCAAAACAGACACAAGAAACAGGTGAGAGAATTTTTAAAGGATTAGTCGACAAAGGCGTATCTGACCAGCACATGGCTATTGCTTGGTTGAAGACACGTGACTTAGATGATGCATGAAATTCAGATGGAGATCAGGAAGTGGATTTCTCCGGTTCAATTAATTTGAATTTGCTCTGATGTAGTTGAACAATGGCAAAGAGAAAATCCTTTCATAATGTAAAATAAGACGCAAAATTATTTGCTATAGATATGTGGAGTACTTTATATCTCTACAAACTGTGACGGATTCAAATAAATAATAGCAATAACTTAAAAAATTATTTTTGAAAGCCATTTTTTAAAATTGAAATATTAACATTGGGTGTCTTTAAGTGCCTAACAGAAGGTAGTGTACAAGCTGCTTTTGCTGTGGTTCCACAGGTTGTTGTCGTGGTACTTCTGTCTCGGCAGAAGGCAGTGCTGTGGTGGTGGTGGTGGGAGCAAGAGGTACTGCAGATGAGCAGATGCAGGTGGCGGTCTGATCAATTTCCCTGGGATCCTGAATTGTCTCCTCCTTGCATCTTTTAAGGTGATCAATGTTGATCTTATTGATAGATTTCTATCTCTTATCAACAATGTCAACACTTTTCCCATCAACCTTAGTTATGGTGTAAGGTCCAAGGAAATCTGGGTCCATCTTTCCACCTTTCCATTGCTGGCTTGAGATGTTTTTTCTCCAAACCATGTCCCTGACATGAACGCTTTCAGACTGTGCTTGTGATTGAAGTCTTGGTCTAGTTCTTTCTCTTGGTTTCTCTGAACAACTTTCAGTAACTCTTCTTGCCTGTTAATATCTACAGTCACTTCTTCCTCCATCAACATTTCCTCAACATTATTATTCATCAAGCTGAATAAATGAAACCCACAATATATTTGCAAATATTCAAAGAACCTAAAATATGAACACGCTCACTCTCAGTGCATTACACTGAGTGCATTTCAGTCTTAAGTAATTTTTATTTATTTATGTTTTCTACATTACTTGTAATGTTATTTCAATCCTCCCTAAAGGCCATTTGATTCTGTTAAACTGCAAAAATTAATATGTATAATGGCCTGGTTTTAAATTCTTCTTGTGTGTCAATTGTGTTAAAAGTTGGACCTGACACTAAAAGTAGAATTAGTCTTTTTCGTCTACTATTTACATTTGACACAAAGCCAACATCCATTGCCTGAGCAAGATGTATTAGAGAAGATAACGCAAAACAGCTCCTTAAGATAGACAAGCACATTAAATGAAGTAAGTTGTTATCTGACAATCACTCTATTGTGACAAGTGCTCTAGTAACTCTCAGGGAGCACAGTCATGGATTAAACAATTTCCAACTGCATCACGAGTCCTCAAGTAGACTAATTAAGGGCTTCCAGATCCCAAATAGCAAAACTGTTTCTGTTATTGATGTAGACTTGATGGATATTGAGCTACATGAGGACAGTCAAGCAGGATAGTAAAACCTCACAAAGCCCATGTTTTCTTTTACCTTCTCAACATGTTTAGATCAAAATTAAAAACTGAGCATTAAACATTCTTATTTGATTCAGTGTTTACTTTTACATGTACGCAGAGTAAGTGTCAACCCATTTAAATTATCCTGAGTTACCTCAAGACCTTCAACAGAAATTGGAGAATGACACTCTGTTAGCATTCATAACGTTCATAATCAGGCTGTTTGAATATTATGAACTCCCTGATTGAGCAGTTCATCTCTCAGTTGATCTCGCATCGTCTTCTGCATAGTTAGAGCTTCCAACATTCCATAGATTATCCACAGCAGAATGCAAGCATGGTTTTGAATCTTTTTTTTGATCGGACAATAATTTAAATTTTTTGTCTGACCCCATACGAAACTTCTCCCCTGCTTCTTCCTTCTGTCACTCACCCCTCCAGTCAGCCTGTCAGGCAGCCTATGACGGAGATCTCCATCAGCTTTATACCATCCTGAAGAAGGACCCAACCATGCTGGATGTTCAAGACCAACACACTGGAGACACGCCCCTCATTGCTGCTTGTCGTCATGGTAACCTGAAAGTGGTGAAGTATCTGGTTGACAACAAGGCAAATGCCCAGCTTACCAATAAGGTGTGCCCTCATGCTGATGTCAAAAAGCTAGACTACCATCAGCTGTGCTGACTCTGTATCATTGTGTCCCTCAGAAACAGAGGACATGTCTTCACTATGTGTCTAAGAGGACTCTGTCTCTTTTGGACTACCTGATGATCACCATCCTGATGCCTATTCTGCTGCTGGGATATTTCCTCATGGTAAAATCAGCCAACTAGCACCCTACTTGCAAGACATAGTACATTGTTGCTTTTTAATGTTTAGAATAGCTTTTCACACAAACAAAGTGGGAAGCTTATACAATTCGACCACATTGTACAGTCAATCTCTTGATGGCTACTTCTCGGTGCAATGCTGGGAAAAACTTTGTTACAGCGTTAATAGAGCGATATTGTGATGACGTCCTGAAGGTGAGGTGTCAGAAAAGTAGGAATTTCTTAAAGAGACAAGTCGAATTTCAAGGCACAAAACTACAAAGTCTAATTTCTTCACTTTTTATAACAACCAAAGGTCACATAGTTACTTGATTGTGCTATAAAATAGCACTATTTACCTAGAAAATACATAGTACTGCCCCTTTAAGTCTTGCTAGCAGAGTTGGGCTTAGTTGGTTCACAATCAAGAAGCCAGGCTATCTCATGCAAGGCAAGGCAAGGCACCAGATCTTGCACCCAGGACTGGTACCCAACACCCGTGTCTTGTACCAGGTAAAATACCTAGGGTGTTATACCATGTCTCAGGTCCTGGGTACAAGACCTGACACAGATTTACCTCCCCTGACCTGTCAGCCTGCTGCAGTTTTTAGCCCTAGCCCTTCTTTTGTTATTCTCCACTTTGAACAATTTTCCTCAGATTAGTTAGGGAGACACTGCTCACCAAACTGAGGCTTGTCAAATTTCAATCAGATGTAACTTCACCAAAAATGAGTGAAACATTTGAACAGTAGCTGATTAAGTAACTCGACACACAAAAAGCGTTTTCCAGTTCCCATGCAGCTTCACTTCATCATGTTACTGTAACTGGCTAGTTGAGAAAATTAGGACTCTGTGTTCCTGACTTTCTTACTACATCATGTCTGACCTCTGCAGCTATTTGTGTTCTTGTTGCAGCTGCAGAAACAGAGAAAGAGTGTGGCACTAATGGATGTCGTGCTGAGCAGCAGTGTTAATGTCAGCACCGTTGACTATGTGAGTGAAACTCCAAATAGGAGCAGACATGGCAAATATCAGATTGCAGCTTCTTTCTGATCACTGTCCTGACAACATTGTCTTTTCTGCTGTAGAAAGGAAACACAGCGCTGCACTATGTCTGTCAGAGGAAAAATCACCATCTGGTTCCGCTGTTGTTGAAACGGAATGCTAAAACTGACATCAGGAACAAAGTATGTCCACAACTGCACCATAAACAACATGATGTTAACATTCCTTTACATTGTTGCAGAATGTTTTGTGATGGGAAGTTCAGTTCTTTTCAGAAAGCCGGTTCTTGTGGCTCGGCTCCTAGAGAAGAGCTGGCTCTTCGGTTCTCAAGCAACTCTTCATTTATTATCATCTGCAATCCCATATTTTAGCGTAACTTGGCAAGTAGCAATGTTTTGTATGATAATCCTTTTGCATTCAATGCTCCCTATAAGAGAAGCTTCATACTTGCTTAATTTTATGTGCCGTAAATTCCAGACTATAAGCCGCTACTTTCTTCCCACATTCTAATTTTTATTAATGTTCACAATGCCAATGTTCTTTCTGAGCCCATTGTAACCCATGAGGTCCCAGTGAGCTTGGTTTCTCAACCGGAAGGAATGAGTGTGGTGGAGTCACTAATGATGTACATATGACATCCATATCTTGTTTTCAGCTACATCGCGCGATAATTATATGTAACTTTTCCGGTTGTTAATAGAGCTGAAAGTCGTTGCATCCATTGGGTATTGGAATAGGTGGGTTGAGTTCAGCTGGTGAGCAAATGAAGCCATGGATGGAGATCCTCATAAATAGAGGCCTGTTTGATGATTGGTTATGAGGAGGCGTGGGCCAACGCTGATAGGCTGCGATAGACTTGCATGATGCAGCGATTAAATTATTAAATTATGAGGATGAGCCTGAAAAGTCTTCCAGTTTGAATTTACACCTAGGCTGCATTTATTCAACAATTAATAAATTAAAATTAAGTCTACAAATTCTCAGCAAATTTCCAGCAAATCCACCAATCAAAATGTTCAACTTGTCTGGTTGCAAAGACAGCTGAAAGCCTCTGCATCTGAGCACACTGCCATTGTTACCCTTGATTGAGATCAAAGCTTTGTGATACCCACACCAAAACATTAACTTTGTTGTAGTTAAGCCACTTTATAACCATTTTGTCTGTAGACTTCAGATTATTGTCCATTTGGAAGCCCAAATTGTAACTTCCTGCAACGTTTAGATCTCTCCTTCGTCCTACACACTTGAATTAAATGGCCAAACTGCCCCACCAGGATGCAGTGAAGCCCTAGAGCTCTGCTCATGAGCTAATGTTGGAGCCAGATGTGCTGAAGCAGTGAGACATCGAAAAGGTGCTTTACAGCGGCCTTTGAGGACTGGAGATTGAGATCACTGCTTTTGATGTTGCTTCAATATTTTTATATATTGTATCAAGAGGATGGCATCTGTTTTATGAAATGTTGCTCTGTGCTGTGCTACAGCTCTACTCCCACATTAGCGCCTGCCGTGAACGCGGAGGCCAATAAGCATGGCCACCGATGACAGCGAATAAACAGTTTTTCTGTAATGTTAAGTTGTTTATTGGCCTTTAGCACAGCTGCAGCAAACCAGCAATCTTGAACCAGCATGCAGTGTGTGTGTGTGTGTGTGTGTGTGGCATACTGTATCTTCAATTATAATTTTTATACAGTTGATATGTTTAATATCTGTATTCTGTTTTCCAGGATGGAGAAACTCCACTGGACATCGCCACCCGGCTGAAGTTCACAAAGATTGTTAATATGCTCAGGAAGACAAACTGAACTGATGGACACCCAACAGCATCATCATTAGAGCGCAGACTGATCCATGATGCTGAAGAGACACTGATCCCAAACTCTGTGCTAAACTAGGCTAACACTTGGTGTGCTAAGTTTGAAGGAGGTTTCTGTTTTAGGCTAGCTAGGCTAATATTACTGTACTAAGCTGGGTAAATTCTTATTGTGCTGTGCTAGGGCCATGCTTCCTGTTAGTAAGCTAGGCTAATAGTTTTTGTATTAAATTAAGCTAAATGTTTCTGCGCAAAAATAGGCTACTGGGATTGGTGTGCTTTCTTTCTTCTTGGATGGTGGGGACAATGGTGGAGATTGTTCAGCAATTCTCACTCTGTCCACCTCTGTTGTTTTGTCCTTGGGGAGGGCACTTCACATACCTTGCCTGCTGGTGGTGGCCAGCAGTGGCATTCATCAGCATGTGTGCGTGAATGGGTGAATGAATGAATGTAGTGTGAAATGCTATTGGATCTTAAAGCACTGTGCAAGTACAGGCCATTTACCATTTGGATGTTGCATTTCCCTGAGTTTACCCTCAGAAAAAACACTTCACAGTTTGTATCTTCTTAAACCAGAGGCACAGATAGTGTAAAATATCTACTGGTGACCAGTTATTTTTTGTTTAAGACACAAATAAAGTTATCACCCGCATTTTTAAAAGTACCTTGCTTCAAAACAAATAAATCCCAGTATTTTTTGATGAGCAACTAGAATGGAGTTTTCCAGTTCTGACATATGAGACGAATTTAGGGGTGCATAACCTAGGGCAAATGTTTCCATCTGTAGTACAAAATACTTAAACTCTGTAAATGCTTTTAGGCTAAAAGGTGTTCTTATTGCCTACCATCAGTTACATTATCATAGATGCGGAGATAGACTAGTGACTAATGTCTTTGCACTACTAACTGAAAACCCTAAAACAACCAAACATTAGTTTCACTAGCAACAAATATTTGGCCAAAGCTAATGCTCAAGTGATAACTTTGACCAAGTTCACCATATGTCAATTACACAACATATGCTACAACATAGTATATCACTTCAAAGTGATATACAAAATGAAAATAGACATGGGTGATTCTTTTTTTGTGGCAACATTTCGGCTTCAGGACTTTTGAAAAAAAAAAAAAAGTATTAATGTTTTAAGTTTTAAATATTGTGTTACAACTCTGACATGTTTAAAAATATTAATTTAATAATGGGCAAGTTCAGGATTGGATAAGTTAATAATTACATGGTTTTTTTTTTCACCATTGTCTCTGAATGTGTTCCACCCTGTTATGAACATTTACATATAGACCACAAATAGTTAAACATGTACATTTTGAAAAATAATGACTTTTTCTTAAAAAGAGTGTGTCCCTTTTACTATATAATATGTTTTATTCTTGAAATTGTAACACATCATGTAGTTACGAATCATTTATGTCTGTATTGTAAAAAAAATAAAGTTTTTTTTTTAACTCATTATTACTGACGGCATTGAAAATATTGGTCATTTTAAAAACTTCTACCAATATTTGCATTTATTGGTTTTTAGTTCCCAACATGGCACAGAAAAATTCACAGTACTTAATGTTTTTTATAACAATATTTAATAAAAACATGTGGAATGGAACATCACATGGTGGACTTTCCCATAACAGAGTGGAAAATCAATGTCTCCGATTCTAAAATCTGATGATTTTCATCATTAGTTGCAGGATTGCCTCTTTCAAGTCAAAGTATAGGCACAGTATTTGTTCTGGCTCTATTTGGGAAAACGGGTGACATCCCTGTAGTGGATTTTCCCATAACAGGTACTCATTGTTCCTCTCACAGGAGTCAATGGGAGTAACTAGTGAAATGAAAACAGACAAATGGCAAAGACATCTGATTATACCTCAGACTACTCTGCAACTCTATTCCATCATCTGAAATTTTTTATTTTACTAAAGCAGTTCTGCTTTATAATCGGCTTTTGTCCTCAGCTTTTCTAAAGAAAGCTGAGGACAAATTTGGAAATTATTAAATTTCCAAAGTTTGAATAAGTGTGTGTCAGGTTCTGTCTGGGTCAAAAGGCTGGTCAGAACCAGGAGACAGGTCAAACAGAACCTCTAAAGTTCAGAACTTCACCTACGTATTCAGGGATGCTCATAAATCAGATTTGATTATGGTTTTGAGCTGAAATCTGAAATATATAATTCAGATTTGGATCACTGAACACCTTCAATTGATGTTGCATTCAAGTTTCACTAGAACCAAAGTAGGAAGCTCAGATTCATTTAATCTGATTATTTTGACCCAAATTCAGAGTGTAAAGCTTTTCTTTCTGGTAAAGTTTGTTTTTGAGGAACATTGGAAATCTAGGTGATGTTTTAACATTTAGAGATCAAAATTAATCCCAAAACTTATCTGTCTTTAATCAGCTAACTGCTGGTTGAATACAAGAAGTTCAGTTTGGACTTTAATGATACCTAGACGGAGCAAGGAGCTAGAGAATGAATGGATGAATGGTTTTGTGTAACTGATCATTTTCCAGAAAACTAAACTTTGCTTGTTGTTCTGTGGTTCTAGAGCCATGAACCTAGTCCCACTTCAGAGACTAAAGAACATATGACAGCTATGTGTTGGAAGAACTGACGTGAGTTAAAACTTATCTGAACTCAAATTGAGACAATCTACTACTGTTTTTTTTTTTTCTTCCATTTTTTAAAGTCATTGAATAGTCATTCCCCTCCAAAAACAACATTAAAAACACGTTCCTGATTAAACCTGGCTGCTGGACCTTCAATTAACACATCTTTGGTGGTCCCCAAGAGGAATGACGTGTGCTTTGCATCACTAGTGATGTTCCTGCAGCAGCTTCAAAATGGAGGGAAACATAACTTGAGGTGCATCCAGACCCCAGATGAAATCCAGATGTTCCCAGTGTTCGATGTGCTGATGGTAGACCAGGTTGGACACCTGCAGTGAGATAAAGTTTTACTCATCTCTGCCAACAAGGTACCTGCAGGAGAAGGTAATTTTATCTTGTGAATGTTAGAATTAATTTAAATGAGCCTGCTGATCATTGTTATTTTATTATCAACAATGGCATCCACAGAGAAAAAAGTAAAACAATTTGTACTGGTGAGTGAGGTGGAGAGTCAAAAAATATCCTTTTTGGTAGCCATAGTAGTGCCTTTATGAGTAGTGTCACATTGCATGTGTTAGTCTTTGATTCACATAACTCTGGTGATCATCCAATGACAAGAATGTGATGGTGAGAGAACTTTGATGAAATTTTGTGCATACCCTGATTTAAGATTTCAGTTGTTTTATTTGAAAGATCCTTATGTATAGCTATGGCTCACCAACAGAAACATAAATAGCATTGATGTTCTGAATGCTTATGTGATAAAAGTTTAATGTGGAGTGAAATTAAATATATGAGAGAAATCATGATGAAGTGTAACTTCAATTCCCCACATCATCTGAGTCGCCTTTTTACCCTGTCTCCAAAACAAGCATACATGTAGGTCAGAGTTTGTGTGAGGGAAACTGAAATGTTAGACTGTTTTGAAGAGGAAGCAGATCATGTACTTTGTGCTGTGGCTAAATAAAAAAGGAAAGTGTTCCACCCTTGTGTCCTTCAAATGCACTTTCATGTTGAAGGGTTTGAGTTTGCAGTGTGGCCCAGTTCTTCTTCATCTGCCTGATTGGTCAGAAGTTTCTTGAGGTGCATAATGCAGAAATATGGTCAGACAGAAATGTTGATATATCTCTTCAACTATTCCCCTTCCACTATCTGGTTTTTGTAACTGTATGAGGAGCATTTATCAGACGCAATGATGAACTATGTACATTTATACAATTCTTCTCTAAATAACTCCTATAAAAATAAGACTGGTGAATGGTTAAAAAAAATCCTGGGTGAAAACTGTAACGTTATTCACGGAGGAGGAGGATGTCTGCAGAAAAGTGACTGTTTTGTAAAAGCAAACCAGGATGTACATGGGTGCATACTACCCTGCATGACTACCCACAGAGTATAGGGTGACGTATACAAAAGCAGGAGGGTGTCCCCCAGTTAGTCTGCACTGTTGTGTGAAAGGTACATACCGCTGTGCCTCAACTGTCTGGCTTCAGACAAAATGTGTCGGGGCTTTTACGTTCACTTCGACTGAGCATACACTTCATGAAGGGTGTAAAGCGAGCATTGGAACCAGGCCTTGACATGACTGACCTGAGTAAGAAGAGCAGCCACATCTTTTGGGTCCGCCAAAGTATCATGTCCTCCAGAAAACAGGGCAGTGGGAACCTTCATATCCTGGACACGAAACTCAGGAGGAGTTGACTGCAGAGGGGGAATAGTGGAGTTTATGGGAAAGACAAATGTGACATTTATAGCATTAAGCACAACAACTTCTGTGATCAGACTAAACATAGAAATGTGAGCAGACAATAGAATGAAGTGGGTGTAATTTCCATTCATTACCTTGGCCTTCCTGAGGCAGCGTGACTGAGCTGAATGGCATTATGCCCTTTTTCTGCTGGTTCTTTTAAGTATCTGCACGGCATGTTGAATGTGGAGAGGTTCCTTGACCTCACTGGTGGGCATTCTGCAGGAGTTTGTGTGGCCACCTGGCTGCAGGAGTCACCACTTTCAAGCTTGGCTTGCATTGGTGGACATGCTGGCAGGGATGGATTGGTGTCAGCGGGGTTTGGGATCCTGCATTTCTTCCTGTGCCATTCTGGCCTAGGACTGCTGCTCCTGTGGTTCAGGAGCAACACACTTAATCATGTTGTGTTGCTGATCTCTGCCTGCCTGAGGCTACTGTGACCTCTGGTAGACAAGGCTACATGCCTGTTACGCTCAGTGTTGTGGAGTTGGCACCCTTTTCTCACCATTCTAACACTTGCACACTTCCAAGTGTCAAATTGGCACACACATCTATTCTACATTAAATCTTGCTCTTCATTAACTCTACAAAAGGCATTATTGCACTGCAAGACCACAGAATCAGTGACGCAGCTGCCAAAGGTCTGGCCCTATTGTACTTCCTGTTTGAAGAGTTTCAGTCAGGTTTCAGTTCATCATAGCACTGAAACAGCACCCGTGAAAGTTACAAATTATATTCTCTTGGCTTCAGATAAGGACTGTATGAGAGTCAGTTAGTGGAAATGTGTAAATAATTTAATTACATTTAGGCACACACTGTTAAGGAAAACTGGCTAATACAACTTTTAAAACAATGTTTATAGGTTGTTTTCCCCTATAGGCAGCGCCCCTATGGATCAGCCACCACTGCCCACATCGTTTTCAGGACACCACTAGACAACCAGCGTTTGAATGACAACATGCGGCTAAACATGTCATCACTGGTCCAATCAGGTAGGAGACCAGAGAAAACTACTTAGTCCAACATTGTTTTGGCAAACTTACACACTGAAGCAACATTAACGTCAGTGACCTCCAATTGGCGTAACTAGGTGTCATTACCACCAGTGCCTAACCCTTAACCAGCAGTTTTAGGTAGGAAGGATACAAGGTTGCCCATTCTTGCCCCTGGCAAATATTTGATTAAGGTCACTGGTGTCTCTAATGCCACGTTTCTGACTATGGAGCTGTCCATTACCAGAGTTGGCTTCTCAGTGGGTGTGTTGCTGAGCGGGGAATATCTGTCAGAAACCTGGATGGGTTGGTGATTCCTATGTACCAACACCCAGGACAGTAAGTTTAAACTCTACAGGAATCCACCGTGTAAATGATACTCACCCTATAGTTATAGGGTGAATATGATCCATGGCTGCTAATCAATGGGCTTGATTAGCAGCAAGCCCATTTAATGGTTCTGATCCTAAGAGCTCACTATTTTACACCTACCAGTTATTTTTACTAATTTCTTCCCCTGTTTATCTGAGAAAATGTCAAAATGTTCTATGAGTGGAAAACAACTCTCTTCATTTTTTTTCACCCAAATATTGTTCAGCTAGTCTCACTGCTTTACATGTATGGTTATGTTCTTGCCAGTGTTGTGTCTGACACGCTTTGGGACAATACATGGCAGCTGTTTTCAGGGAGGCAATGAACATCTGCTTTCCCCCTGCAACCTCATTTCTCAGTTCGTTCACCACCGTTCTTGCCATCCTTGGTCTGGGATCAGCTTTATGGTTCATCTTCAGTTCATAGCTTGTTGATCTTTGTTGTTTGGGGTTGTTTCTCTTTAGATTATTTAGCCACTGTGTCTTGATTTTTGAAGCTTCATTAAGTTTCTCAGTCAGCATTTCATCAGTCACATCCAGGTTGTCAAGTAGTGCCTTGATCTGGAGTTTGATATTATCATTTTGCAGTTTTGTACCCACCAAACTTAAAAACGTCCTGGACTTTGAACACCTGGATTCTCTAGGACTTTGGTAGAACCCTGGTGCTACCAGGACTGTGTTTGACCCTGTTTATACCAGGAGTCTGAAAGTCCTTATTTTGCTTGGACTCGGATGTTTCCTGATCTTTATGGTTCCAGTTTCAGACTCACCTGGTTGTAATGCCTCAGGTTTCCTTCTGGTCCAAAGTCAAATGCCATCAGCTTCCCTCCATGGACTGCCTGTAATCAGCGGAGAAACATTGTAAAAGAAGTTTTCAGAGAAGTTGTGTTTAAATAAAATCATTGATGTACTGTAGTTCCGGTTCACACAATGGAGCAACCAAGTTCACTGTTGTTTTCATACTTTCAATGTCTGTGGATTTTAAAGGTGATTTATGGGGAAGGTTAAGTGTAGTCATATTGCTCAGGTACCTGCGCCCAGTGGATCATGTTCTGGACAGAGGTCCCAGCAGGACAGTGAGTTGTGTAGACTGGAGTCCGAGTCTGGAACACATTACAAAGTCTTCCTCAGTAAGACTTTCTGAAGTCACCGCTTTCAAGCTTGGCTTGCACTGGTGGACATGTTGGCAGGAAAGTCTTGCTGATGTCAGCAAGACTTTCTGATGTGTGGCTGACATCAGAAAGTCTTATAACTATGATTACCTATGATACTAGCTATGATTACATAGTTAATTAGTTAGTAACCTAACTATGGTCAGCTAGATTACTACAAATTGGTAATCTAGCTGACCATACTGCTGATATCGCATGAAATAAAACCAAATTCATTCAATAAAATGTATCTTCTGACAGGTGAACATGTTTTCCACAGTAAAGGTTTCCTAATGTAAATCTGTCACTAACAGGAACATCTGTTCAAGAAGATATCATGAAGATTGAACTTCAATCTTCATGTAGATAAAATACAACAAAGTTCTGTTATTCAGGCTATTCAGAGTCAGAGGTACAGACCATGTTAAGGTTTTTCTCGTCAAAACCGCAGAGGATGAAGAAGAGATTTCCACACAGCTCACTCAGCAATGTCTTTGCACACACGTGTTCAGCCAACCATTTGATGTACTGGCTCTGTGGAAGGAAGTCCCGCCTCCCAAACAAGTCCTGCAGGGTGCGTCAATGAGCATGTCATCAATAGGTCACAAGAAAATGCAGGTCTACTAATAATTCAAAGTGAATTAGAATTTTTGAATAGATAATAAATAAAATAATGAATATTTTAATGTAAGAACAAACCTATCATGTTGTTGGTCCTTTCTAAAAAAGCTACAATTTGCGGAATATCTCTGAGAAATTCACTGCTCCTCCCCACCGGACAAATAATATTTTGCATGATCTATTCATTTGCACCGTTTAATCATCATTTTTATTTCCATCAACAACTGAACCAGCAAAACCTTGTCAGTTTTTGTCACCTGTCCTGTGCTTCCTAAACAGGTGCTATTACCAGGAACTAATTCTTACCCAGATCAGAAAATCTGGTAGGGCAGACAGTTTGGTCATGGGGCTGTCAGTAAATGCCACAGTTGCAACAGGAGCCAGTCCAAAGAACAGGCGAATCTTACTGGCAAGCTCTGGCAGAGTGGAGAACGCTATGAATGCTGTAAAATAAGACTGAAGTTAGCATGTACAGGAAGTTAGTGTTTTACAGCAGACAAGAAAAAAGTGCAAGACTTGATTGGGTACCAATGGTTGTTCCCTGGGAGTGTCCAATGTAGAAGATCTGTTCCTGACCAGTAGCCTTCAGAATGTGGTTGATAACTGCTGGAAGATCTTTCAGAGCCATTTCGTCATAGCTGTTGACATACAGAATAGTGGAAGACATGTCTTAGAACTATCTGATTCACTTTATTTGAAAGATGGAGAGTCAGAACCAGATTAAAACATCATGACTCAGAAAACACTTAATTTAGAAAAAACAGTTCAAGTTAGTCACATTGGTCAGAATCAACTATTTCAGGCCAAAGTGATCCAAAAATAATAATCTTCACTCATCACCTGCTGCGCCTCCTAATCATCATGTTTCACATCAT